TGTTGTTTCTGAAAACCTAAATATCCAGGTGAACAATACAGGCCCTCTTGTTTCTGAAAACCTAAATATCCAGGTGAACAATACAGGCCCTGTTGTTTCTGAAAACCTAAATATCCAGGTGAACAATACAGGCCCTCTTGTTTCTGAAAACCTAAATATCCAGGTGAACAATACAGGCCCTGTTGTTTCTGAAAACCTAAATATCCAGGTGAACAATACAGGCCCTCTTGTTTCTGAAAACCTAAATATCCAGGTGAACAATACAGGCCCTGTTGTTTCTGAAAACCTAAATATCCAGGTGAACAATACAGGCCCTCTTGTTTCTGAAAACCTAAATATCCAGGTGAACAATACAGGCCCTGTTGTTTCTGAAAACCTAAATATCCAGGTGAACAATACAGGCCCTCTTGTTTCTGAAAACCTAAATATCCAGGTGAACAATACAGGCCCTGTTGTTTCTGAAAACCTAAATATCCAGGTGAACAATACAGGCCCTGTTGTTTCTGAAAACCTAAATATCCAGGTGAACAATACAGGCCCTCTTGTTTCTGAAAACCTAAATATCCAGGTGAACAATACAGGCCCTCTTGTTTCTGAAAACCTAAATATCCAGGTGAACAATACAGGCCCTCTTGTTTCTGAAAACCTAAATATCCAGGTGAACAATACAGGCCCTCTTGTTTCTGAAAACCTAAATATCCAGGTGAACAATACAGGCCCTGTTGTTTCTGAAAACCTAAATATCCAGGTGAACAATACAGGCCCTCTTGTTTCTGAAAACTTAAATATCCAGGTGAACAATACAGGCCCTCTTGTTTCTGAAAACCTAAATATCCAGGTGAACATTACAGGCCCTCTTGATTCTGAAAACCTAAATATCCAGGTGAACAATACAGGCCCTCTTGATTCTGAAAACCTAAATATCCAGGTGTACATTACAGGCCCTCTTGATTCTGAAAACCTAAATATCCAGGTGAACAATGCAGGCCCTCTAGATTCTCAAAACCTAAATATCCAGGTGAACAATACAGGTCCTGTTGTTTCTGAAAACCTAAATATCCAGGTGAACAATACAGGCCCTGTTGTTTCTGAAAACCTAAATATCCAGGGGAACAATACAGGCGCTCTTGTTCCTAAAAACTAGAATATCCAGGTGAACAATACAGGCCCTGTTGTTCCTAAAAACTTGAATATCCAGGTGAACAATACAGGCCCTGTTGTTTCTAAAAACCTAAATATCCAGGTGAACAATACAGGCGCTCTTGTTCCTAAAAACTAGAATATCCAGGTGAACAATACAGGCCCTGTTGTTTCTGAAAACCTAAATATCCAGGTGAACAATACAGGCCCTGTTGTTTCTGAAAACCTACATATCCAGGTGAACATTACAGGCCCTGTTGTTTCTGAAAACCTAAATATCCAGGTGAACAATACAGGCCCTCTTGTTCCTAAAATCTTTAATATCTAGGTGAACAATGCAGGCCCTCTTGTTTCTGAAAACCTAAATATCCAGGTGAATAATAACACACCCTCTTGTTTCTCAAAACCTAAATATCCAGGTGATCAATACAGGCTCTCTTGTTTCTGAAAACCTAGATATCCAGGTGAACAATACAGGCGCTCTTGTTTCTGAAAATTCAAATATCCAGGTGAATAATAACACACCCTCCTGTTTCTGAAAACCTAAATATCCAGGTGAACAATGCAGGCTCTCTTGTTTCTGAAAACCTAAATATCCAGGTAAACAATACAGGCCATGTTGTTTCTGAAAACCTAAATATCCAGGTGAAAAATGCAGGCCCTCTTGTTTCTGAAAACCTAAATATCCAGGTAAACAATACAGGCCATGTTGTTTCTGAAAACCTAAATATCCAGGTGAACAATACAGGCTCTCTTGTTTCTGAAAACCTAAATATCCAGGTGAACAATACAGACCCTCTAGTTTCTGAAAACTTAAATATCAAGGTGAACAATACAGGCCCTGTTGTTTCTGAAAACCTAAATATCCATGTGAACAATACAGACCCTCTAGTTTCTGAAAACTTAAATATCAAGGTAAACAATACAGGCCCTGTTGTTTCCGAAAACCTAAATATCCAGGTGAACAATGCAGGCCCTCTCGTTTCTGAAAACTTAAATACCCAGGTGAACAATACAGGCACTCTTGTTTCTGAAAACCTAAAATATCCAGGTGTGCAGTACAGGCCCACTTGTTTCTGAAAATTTAAATATCCAGGTGAATAATAACACACCCTCTTGTTTCTGAAAACCTAAATATCCAGGTGTGCAGTACAGGCCCTCTTGTTTCTGAAAATTTAAATATCCAGATGAATAATAACACACCCTCTTGTTTCTGAAAACCTAAATATCCAGGTGAAAAATGCAGGCCCTCTTGTTTCTGAAAACCTAAATATACAGGTGAACAATACAGGCCCTGTTGTTTCTGAAAACTTAAATATCCAGGTGAACAATGCAGGCTCTCTTGTTTCTGAAAACTTAAATATCCAGGTGATCAATACAGGCCCTCTTGTTTCTGAAAACCTAAATATCCAGGTGAACAATACAGGCCCTCTTGTTTCTGAAAACTTAAATATCCAGGTGATCAATACAGGCCCTCTTGTTTCTGAAAACCTAAATATCCAGGTGAACAATACAGGCCCTCTTGTTTCTGAAAACTTAAATATCCAGGTGATCAATACAGGCCCTCTTGTTTCTGAAAACCTAAATATCCAGGTGAACAATACAGGCCCTCTTGTTTCTGAAAACTTAGATATCCAGGTGAACGATACAGACCCTGTTGTTTCTAAAAACTTGAATATCCAGGTGAACAATACAGGCCCTCTTGTTTATGAAAACTTAAATATCCAGGTGAACAATACAGGCCCTGTTGTTTCTAAAAACTTAAATATCCAGGTGATCAATACAGGCCCTCTTGTTTCTGAAAACTTAAATATCCAGTTGAACGATACAGGCCCTCTTGTTTCTAAAATCTTAAATATCCAGGTGAACAATACAGGGCCTGTTGTTTATGAAAACTTGAATATCCAGGTGAACATTACAGGCCCTGTTGTTTCTGAAAACTTAAATATCCAGGTGAACAATACAGGCCCAGTTGTTTCTGAAAACTTAAATATCCAGGTGAACAATACAGGCCCTCTTGTTTCTGAGAACCTAAATATCCAGGTAAAAGATTATGATCTTTTGACTTATTTGATATAACATTTTCACATATTTCTCGATAGATTTTGTTAAAAGTTTACTCAAATCTTAAAGCCATCTTTATTATATTTAATAGCTAAAAAATGATCAATTGGGTACGTAGATCTGGATCAGAGATCTGGTTCTGGTTACAATACCCAGATCATTGGTTCTGGTTACAATACCCAGATCATTGGTTCTGGTTACAATACCCAGATCATTGGTTCTGGTTACAATACCCAGATCATTGGTTCTGGTTACAATACCCAGATCATTGGTTCTGGTTACAATACCCAGATCATTGGTTCTGGTTACAATACCCAGATCATTGGTTCTGGTTACAATACCCAGATCATTGGTTCTGGTTACAATACCCAGATCATTGGTTCTGGTTACAATACCCAGATCATTGGTTCTGGTTACAATACCCAGATCATTGGTTCTGGTTACAATACCCAGATCATTGGTTCTGGTTACAATACCCAGATCATTGGTTCTGGTTACAATACCCAGATCATTGGTTCTGGTTACAATACCCAGATCATTGGTTCTGGTTACAATACCCAGATCATTGGTTCTGGTTACAATACCCAGATCATTGGTTCTGGTTACAATACCCAAATCATTGGTTCTGGTTACAATACCCAGATCATTGATTCTGGTTACAATACCCAGATCATTGGTTCTGGTTACAATACCCAAATCATTGGTTCTGGTTACAATACCCAGATCATTGATTCTGGTTACAATACCCAGATCATTGGTTCTTGTTACAATACCCAGATCATTGGTTCTGGTTACAATACCCAGATCATTGCCATAGAGTTACCGATGGCACCTCGATAGCATACATCCAAGTAACTTAACTTCAGTGTCCATCAAGGTTATCTGAAAACTCACTTGATTGCAATGGGAATCCGGTCACTACAGTCGGGCTTTCCTAAACAAGAGGACCTCAAGTGTCCTCTTAGGTCCGGCTGACCACCCAGCGTGTGTTATCCAGGCTTCAGGCTTGGTATAACCGACTCATTAGTCAAGTATGTGAATTAAAAGAAGAAGAATTTAAAATGGAAAAATCTGGACTTTGTCGTAGATGGAAAAAAAAGGCGAAGAATATCAAAATAATTTCTAAATCAATGCTATGCTGCAATACCATCAAAATCTCAGTCTCTGGTAGACAAGTCTCACTCTGTTAAAAACAAAATCTCACTCTCTGGAAAACAAGTCTCACTCTGTCAAAACCAAAATCTCACTCTCTGGAAGACAAGTCTCACTGTCAAAAACAAAATCTCACTCTCTGGAAGACAAGTCTCACTCTGTCAAAACCAAAATCTCAGTGTCTGCTTTAGTCAGGGTTAACAGGTATGAAATTATATACTTTATGCAAATTTATGGTATACTGGATATAATCAACCTGGTGCATTTAACTTACACTTATTATCCTCAGTTCATTTGAATGAGGATATAAATATTTAGATCGGATGCATTTTTTTATGAAATGAAGAAAGGAGATAATCCTATGTAAACAGACATCTATTTATGGCTGTAACTTACCTGTAACTTACCTGATTTCCTCACAAAAAAAGACTATTTGGCAATTTATTTGTTTGAAGTAACTTGTTTGTGATAATTTCAATATGTGAAATGTGGAAATAAAATCTTAATAATGATACTTGATTTACAATAATTTCATTTATTTGTAGTGAACATTATATTGTTTGTGTTGAACCTTGTTATATTCAATATGACTTGTATGTTTGTGTTGAACCTTGTTATATTCAATACGACTTGTATGTTGACAGGAAGACTGCAGCAGCAAGACACCGATCATCATGGCCATTGACACGAGGGACTACGACCTTGTCAAAACATTTGTTAATTGTGTTGAGCAGGAAAAGGAAAAAGACATGATTCGGTGTATCCTGGAAACGTGTACCAGGGCTGGTGATACGCCCTTACACATTGCGGCGGGGGCAAACATTCTCAAACCGGACAAGGTGAAACTCTTGCGGTTACTGGTAAATCGCGGAGCCAATACCCACATAGAAAACAACATCAAACAGTTACCCGAGGACATTGCAAGTCGTGATCTGGTCAGTGTTTTGCAAGTCGTGATCATCATTGTTTTAGCAATTATTTATCCTTCCAATTTATTCTTTCTTCTTCCTGCTTTCTGTCAATCTCCCCTTATCTTTCTCATCCTTCCCTCCTTTCCTGCTGGTTTCTATACTTCCATTACCTTCCTACTCAATATCTTCCCTTCTTATCTTACCATTTTCTCCACTTGGTGGTTTACTGTCTCTCCTCTTTCTCTCCTGTCAATTTCTTTACCTTTATTCTTTCTCCTTTTCTTTTCCCTATCTCCACTCCCTGTCTTTCTCTCCCACCATTTTCTTCCCTACCATTTTTCCACATCCTTGTTGCAGCCTTCACTTTTTTTTAGCTCATCTGGCCTGAATGCCTGTATGTCGTCAGTCAAATTTGGTCTTGAGCATCCTTAGCCGCCGATTAGTTCTCAATTTGGTAAAAACGGAGGGTGTGCCCCCTCCTCAGAGCAAAAGGGGCAGGACCCAATAGGGGAAAGAGATGGAAATCATGCCCTCCTCTATACGAATGCAGGGAATTTAAATAAATTTAGTCTGGTGCAACCTTGGGGATAGGGGATTTGATTTTGTATAAACTGAGAGTGTGACCTTGGGGCAGAGGGATGGGGCTGAATAATGGAAATAGAGGGAAATCTATTAAAATCCTTCTCTTTATGTACCATTGGAGAAATTTAAACCAAATTTTGTCTAAAACATCCTTGGCCATATGTGACTCACTTTTGTATGAATGTAGAGTGTTGGATCCCTGGGGGTAGAGGGTCAGGGCCAATAGGGGGGAAAGATAAATCAATAAAATCCTTCACCTTCTGTATGAATGGGCAGGCTTTATCACCACCTTATAACCGGATATACATTAGCTAGGCATAAAGTATCACACCCTATAACCAGATATACATTAGCTAGGCATAAAGTATCACCACCCTATAACCGGATATACATTAGCTAGGCATAAAGTATCACACCCTATAACCAGATATACATTAGCTAGGCATAAAGTATCACCACCTTATAAACGGATATACATTAGCTAGGCATAAAGTATCACCACTCTATAACCGGATATACATTAGCTAGGCATAAAGAATCACACCCTATAACCAGATATACATTAGCTAGGCATAAAGTATCACCACTCTATAACCTGATATACATTAGCTAGGCATAAAGTATCACCACTCTATAACCGGATATACATTAGCTAGGCATAAAGAATCACACCCTATAACCAGATATACATTAGCTAGGCATAAAGAATCACCACCCCATAACCAGATATACATTAGCTAGGCATAAAGAATCACCACCCCATAACCAGATATACATTAGCTAGGCATAAAGTGTCACCTCCCTATAACCGGATATACATTAGCTAGGCATAAAGCATCACCCCCCTATAACCGGATATACATTAGCTAGGCATAAAGTATCACCACCCCACAACCGGATATACATTAGCTAGGCATAAAGTATCACCACCCCATAACCAGATATACATTAGCTAGGCATAAAGTATCACCACCTTATAACCGGATATACATTAGCTAGGCATAAAGAGGGGAACACTTTCATGCTTCCACGATTGGCCCAGAAGTCCAGACTCACCCCTGGGGACTAACTCTCCAGGTTATAACAATGGCTCTCCAGCTCAAGGTTGGTCCCAGAACTATTGAGACGGTTCCAGCTGTTAAAAACCTAGGGGTATACTTTGACAGTTCTCTGAACATGGAGAAACAAGTGAACGCTATTGCCAAATCCTGTTACTACCAGATCAGGAACATCGGCTGTATTCGGCAGTTTCTAACTGCAGATGCATGCAAGATTTTGGTGCATTCACTTGTTACCTCTCAGTTGGATTATGGTAACGCCATGCTCTGTGATATATCTGGCAAACTAACTAGTCGTCTGCAGAGGGTCCAGAACACTGCAGCACGGCTAGTTACTCGTACTCGAAAGAGAGAGCACATCACACCTGCGCTTTATTCGTTGCACTGGTTACCTGTACGATACAGGTCGCAGTACAAAATTCTGGTATACACATACAAGGCACTGAATGGAACAGCTCCTCAGTACCTACAGGAGCTTGTTACCCTGTATCAGCCGTCAAGATCACTGCGGTCGGAGTCAGAATCTTTGTTGTGTGTCCCAAAATCTCGTACTGTGACCTACGGAAACAGATGCTTTGGGAGGGTTTCGGCTACGTTGTGGAATAGCTTACCATCTGCTATTAGGAAGTCAAATACCCTGGCCAAGTTCAAGAGGGACATAAAAACTCACCTCTTCACGTCTGCATTTTAGAATCTTTGCAAAGAGGTCATGTAAATACCACCCTTTTATTTGTTCAATTATGTGCACATTGCTTGTTAAATGTATTAAAGTGATTGCAAGCCTTTGTTGTTTGTTTTCACAATTATAACCATTACTATTATCCATATGTTGTAAAGCACCTTAGAGTAATTTTACAAATTATATAGGGCGCTATATAAATGTTGTATATTATTATTATTATTATTATTATAGCATGGAACAGTTGAGATCCCCATACCATAACCATATACTAAATTGCTGGGCATAAAGAATACAATGTCATTCATGTTCTGGGTGTCTTACCTTCCCAAAGTGATTAATCCTTCTTGCAGCTTGTACTCCTTTGATAAACTTTTATGGTACTAAGCAGGTTTTAAGTTGAAAATAAAATACCAGATGAGCTATTATGGCCCCTTGGCCTCTTGTCTACCTTTCCCTCCCAACCATTTCGTCCCCTCCTCCTCCATTTCTCCCTCTCTTCCCCATTTCATTTCATTCCTTACATGGCAACACTTTTAAAGTAGGAAGCAACTTTATTTGACGCTGAATTTAAACAAAATACCCAGAGCTAACACATTGCTTCCATTGTAAAGTTTTGATTGAGGCCATACCATCTAAATCACCTAGGGACGAATGTTCTAAATTAGTCTACATGTAAAGTCAAGGACCAGGGCCCACTTGTATAAAACATCTCAAAGTTAAGGAAAATCTCAAGCCATGTATTGTCTATGGGAAATCTTAGACTTGAGGAAATCTCAAGAGTCGAGATGTTTTATACAAGTGGGCCCTGGATGTTTTATACAAGTGGGCCCTGGATGTTTTATACAAGTGGGCCCTGGATGTTTTATACAAGTGGGCCCTGGATGTTTTATACAAGTGGGCCCTGGAGTATTCGATGAATCCAAGTTGGTGTTGCATTGTTTATATATTCAGTGTTAGGTCAAACTATGAATTTTTAGGTGATAAAAAAAAAAAACTTGCCTCAGAATGAAGTCACACAGCCTTTCCTATAAGAAAACTACAGACATTCTGCTTGGAAAATTAAGTTTGAACATTTTCATGCTTGAAAAGAAAGACTTGCGATAAACATGTTCCCTATAGTATTTAGATTGGGAGATTGTGCTGGCAATTTTGTACAAATAATCAAGCTTAAAGGATTACTCTCCTCTGTGCTGAATTCTTTGCTCAGTATTAACATATACAATACACAGAATCAGATTTCAGTATGACATTACAAGTAGGTGACCTAGAAGTCTAGGTCAGAGTGTACTGTTCCCCATGGCAATGATGTTCTGCTGTTAAAAGGACGAATACCTTTACAACTGTATCTGCGATTAAATGTCATAGAAGTTATAAAAGCTATCAATTGGTCAGGAGCCCTTATATACCATTTAAACAACATGATTTTCTCTGTTTTTCAGTGGAAAGCTGCATTCAGATGCTGAGGATAAAGGATGACGAGATATGTGTATCACCACCTGGTATTGATAAAGAACGAAGAGATATGTGTATCACAACCTGGTATTGATAAAGGACGACGAGATATGTGTATCCCCACCTGGTATTGATAAAGAATGAAGAGGTATGTGGATCACCACCTGGTATTGATGAGGGTTGACGAGATATGTGTATCACAACCTGGTATTGATAAAGGACGACGAGATATGTGTATCCCCACCTGGTATTGATAAAGGATGAAGAGACATGTGTATCACCACCTGGTATTGAAAAAGAATGAAGAGATAAGTGGATCACCACCTGGTATTGACAAAGAATGAAGAGATATGTGGATCACCACCTGGTATTGACAAAGAATGAAGAGATATGTGGATCACCACCTGGTATTGACAAAGAATGAAGAGATATGTGGATCACCACCTGGTATTGATTAAGAATGAAGAGATATGTGGATCACCACCTGGTATTGATAAAGGATGACGAGATATGTGTATCACCACCTGGTATTGAAGTGCTTCTCTTTGACTACGTGGATATATAGGAACATTGAAACTAAAAACATATAGAAAAAAAATTCTGTTATCTGCATGTATATATGAAGACATCAGTTATGTCTAATACATTTTCATAAAGAGAAAAAATAAGCATTTTATGTATATAATATGAGTTTTGATTTAAATTTGGCTGGAACTGTATATCATTCATTGCTTCATTCTCTGCACTCATTCTCCACTAAACTAAGGGGCAGAATGGAAATCAAGTACAGAATAGCATTCTGTATCTAGTATAGTAATACCAGTCGTGTAGAAACACCGGGAATACCAGGGTAGAATAACATCCTCTGATATCTGATGTAAATCCTGGTAGACTAACATCCTCTGATATCTGATGTAAATCCCAGTAGAATAACATCCTCTGATATCTGATGTAAATCCTGGTAGAATAACATCCTCTGATATCTGATGTAAATCCCGGTAGAATAACATCCTCTGATATCTGATGTAAATCCTGGTAGAATAACATCCTCTGATATCTGATGTAAATCCCGGTAGAATAACATCCTCTGATATCTGATGTAAATCCTGGTAGAATAACATCCTCTGATATCTGATGTAAATCCCGGTAGAATAACATCCTCTGATATCTGATGTAAATCCTGGTAGAATAACATCCTCTGATATCTGATGTAAATCCCGGTAGAATAACATCCTCTGATATCTGATGTAAATCCCGGTAGAATAACATTCTCTGATATCTGATGTAATGATAAATTACTAGAGAAAATAAACTTCTTTTTTTTCAAAGTTACTGATGATACAATTAAAAGGTTTAAGAAACGATACAAAACCAATTACCTGTATTAGTAATTGACATTTATACAAGTCTGGATGCCAGATTATTATCTGAAATTTCAAACAAGTCATACATACTTGAAATTCTATGTATTTACTGATATTTTTAGTTTTTATTATTGTTTGATGAAGGCATTACTCACCATAACCTTTTGTAAATAAGAACTTACAAGTTGTCCTATGGTCACCAGAAGATTATTTCAAGTGTGAAATTCTAGATTTGTTTTTGTTTTATGTAAATAAAGCTTGCATGACATATGCATTATGTAATTTTATTGATTCAATGCTCATTGTTAAGACTTTGTTTGGTTTTATGTAAATGGAAAAATTAAAATTTCCTTAACTTGTAACGTGAAAATCAGAATATATATTTGGTATTTATATTGATTGATTAAATAATAAAACTGTTATAATGATAGACGTGCATAATATGCTTTGAAATTATTCGTTTTGTTGTGCTAAAAGGAAAGTCCATGGTTTTTCAAAAAAAAACTTTTATGTGGACAGAACTGATGGAAAATGTTATTTTTAGGATGAGCTTATTTGTGATAGATGATTTATTGCATAGAATAGCATCATAGCATCTAACCCATGTTATATCATTTAATATATGAATACACAATATTGTACTGGCCCACCAGTACCTTCATCTGTTGGGCAATAAAGATCCAGATGATACAGGCTCTCTTGGTTCTTGTAAACATATATTTCAACATATTTGGTGAATTGCACTGTATTAAGTATTTATCACGAAATGCTGGTATAAACATAAACACTAAATGTTGTGATGTATGAGCTGTTGTAATGTAGTAGAATGGCCACAGACTATACATTTTTAATGTCATGACCCAAGAGGCTAGCAAATGAAATTTGATGTTTTCTAGTTTGTTGTCTGTTGAATTTAATACCATATTTCATTGGCTATCATTTTGATAGAATTTGACAGTGAAGACAATTGCACTAATCATTTGTTATCCACACAACTTGTCTCTATAGACAGTTTCTAGTATCATACTCTACACACACAGGACAGAGGAATCAGTCAAAAGAATATTGTTTTTGAATTCATTCTATTTTCCAGTGGTAAGTTTTTCTTATGGGCTTTAGATAAAATAAGAAACAGCCTATGCCTTCTATAATGATAGGTATTACCTTTATCCTGATGGTATTTTCTGGCTGATCTCCTGATTAAAGTGTCCATTATTATACATATGTATATTAGGAAGGTGAAATACTGAAATACAATCTTGAACTTCTCTATATATGTTAGAGTTTTGGCCCCTCCTTCTTTTAGTTTTGATAAATTTTGTCAAACTTGCTAAATTCATATGTATCTGGGGAAGGTGGGGTGTCAAGGATTCATTCCATGTCCCCCCAGTAAATAGGAAATTGTGGCCCTTTATTTCTATCTACCTATCCATTCATCTCTCTGTCCATCAAAAATAATCTTGCTTTTTCACCCCTTCACATTCAAGATTCAATATACATAGCATATCGGTATAAGTTAGTCTGGTTAGAGGAAGAGACCTTTATATTCTATTTATTTTTTAGGTCAAGGTCATCTAAGATCGGTTTCTACCGAGTTTAAATGTGTATACCTATGTTAAGAATGTACCCGTTTTTATTAAAATATTTCGAAATAAAATGATACTGTCTTGAATGTTACACTTAATTGTTAGTTAATGCTTAGATAAGAAAAAACAAATACAGAAAAGAAGAGCTGTATATAATCAGTGATAACAAAGCCTGATAACCAGTCACAGCCTGATAACCAGTCACAGCCT